CCCCAAAACCCCAAAACCCCATGAAATAAAATCAAACAAAGATTGAAGCTAAAATTATTCCTATGGCTTAAATTATTTATATAACTTTCTCATTTTGTAGTAATGAAATACTTCTAGAATAGCATTCTCAGCTTATAAGAGGCTAATTTTTCATTTTTTCCTTCTCCATCTAAAGTCTATCTTCTTCTCTGAGTTTCTCAATTGCCTCTAATTCATCTGGCTTGAAAATAATTGCAAACTTCTTCTCTTTTCTTTTTTCAGCCAGTCTATTCTAGATATAGTCAAACATTGGAGGTTTTTCATCTAGCCAAGCATATCTTCTACGCTCTCTAGTCATACAATCATTAAACTGTTTTATCTCATCAATGCAGTCACTGCTACCTTCCCATTCCATTGGGTAACTTTTCTTTACTAATCCACAATAGTTTACCTCACAGCCAAGGTCTCTGCAAAGCATCATTGCCATATCATCAATAGAGACCCTAGGAGAAGCTGCATAATGAGTCCAATAAGTTGATTGCTTTAAACATTCAGCATACAACGCTTTTGGATGTTTATCTGATGCAATCGATCTTGCATCTTTATAGGTTTGCTACATTATTGGATTTACATTGAATGGATTGCTCTCCTATTTCTTTTTATCCTCTTGCCAGAACTCCTCTGTCATTTTAACTTTTAATATTAATTTTATTAATCTCTCTAATATTAATCTATTATTACTATGAATATTTAGAAGATTTATGAAATTTAGGACTAATTCACAATCAAAAGGCTAATTTCCTCAATTGATATCAGAGAGTGGTTTGAACAAATATTTAATATCAAATTTTTTATCAAACTCTGAAAATGCTTTACTCTTCACTCAGCTTTAGTCCTCTCATCATGAATAATGAGCTCATCCTTATACATTCCCATGAACTTCTGAATAAGCAATAACTATATCATTTTAAGCATTGATTGAATGATCTTACTTATTTTTAAACTCTTCTGATATTATGAGTTGGTAGAAAACTCACATCTGCATGATTGATAAATGATAACACTATCTTGTAATGAAGGGTATTTATTTAGTTTTGCTCTATACCTCTCTAAACCCCCCTTACTTAAGTGATATTGCTCAGTGTAAATGTCTTAATTTTTCTATCACAACACATTGTAGTCTTATAGATAATTAGTCTGTCTGTTTTCCTGTCAAAGATAATAGTTTCAATTCTTCCGCTGTTTATGAACAAATAGCCAATCACAAACAAAAATAAGAGAACTCCATATTATATCAGCTAGCTAGATGAATTTTCACAACTCAAGTAATTTTACCTATTATTTTTAAAAGTAAGCAAGTCCTCGTAGATCATATAAATGCAGAATATAGCTCCTGCCCAAAAAAGTAACCCCATAATCCAAAAAATCCAAGGGATCTTACGAAATCTGAGTTTTGCAGTTGAGTTCTCTTTGATATCAAGATCTTCAATAACTCTATCTAATTAATTACTTTAAAATAAATGGTTCATACGGTCACATGTTTTTAAAAGATCTATTTCTTCTTCAGATGGCCTACGTCTTCTTTCTCCATGACGCTTTCTTGACATGACTATAGCACCTATTCTTCCAGCAAACATTTTGATATTTAAATTAATAATGTTTGTATTATAATAGCCTTACTTGACTAAAGGTTTTTTAGAATTTATATATATACTTGAAATCTTTGAAATTCCCGATGGGGTTTTGGGGTTTTGGGG